TGCTAGATTAGGGACGGCTAGCACAGATAGCTCTCGTGTATCTTTGCGCGAAATTTTATAAAACCTAAACCTAAAAAAAAACTTAGGTTTATTGAAAACTAAAATATTTCAAATTTTCCTTACATAAGTAAAAACATTGCCCTAACGTTTTAGTAAAGAGTAATCAAGGATTAAATGTATGGACCAAGTTTGTTTGTTATGGATTTCGCGTAAAGCTACACGAGAGCTATCTGTGCTAGCCGTCCCTAATCTAGCAGTGTAAAACTAGAGGGAAAGCAGCTAGTCATCACCACCCACTGCCAACTCTTTTACCAACGAACAGTGTGATTGACCGTCACATTATAACGCCCCCACGGCTGAAAGGGCGAGCATGTTTGGTGTGACCCTCAGATTGCGATTCGAGCGCCCTAACCACCTGGCCATGCAGGGGGCCGACCAAGTTTGAATAAATCAAAAAGGAACATAAATAGATATCCAGTGGCTTCCGATAAACAAACATTTCATAATTTTATGATGAAAATTTCAAATTTGACTACATAATACCAAACCTAAACAATAAAAAAGTGCGTTTATCGTTAGCATAATTTCTATTGTATTATCGATGTAATGCTAACAAAAATACCTCCGAAAAATAATTTAGGGGAGTCCTTTCGATGTAAACCAATAAAAATCGAATCGCAAAATTAAAACAAGATATACACACAGGCAAAATAATTATTGTGACGTTTTCGATTAATAAGTAATAGCGTATTGGGTAGAATTGGGCAAATAAAAAAAAATCCCCAAAAAAGGCACGTGATGATGTGCATTAAAAGTTTCAAAATGTTTACTTTGAAATTGTGTCAGTAAATTATAAATAAAAGGAACAATTAATTGACAAGTTAATCTAGGTAAAAAAAAGCTTGTTGTTGAAAACTGAATACTTTTTAATACTGATAGTTTAGTAGGATTATTTATTTGTAGTTATGCACAAAGCTACACAATGGGCTATCAGTGCTCTGCCCACCACGGGTATCGAAACCCGGTTTTTAGCGTTGTAACTCCGCAGACATGCCGCTGTGCCAATGGGGCCCTAGTAGGATTATCAGACAAAACTATACAAGTAACTAAAAATGTATTCATGTACGTTTTTTTATTCAGTCTTGAAAACATGAAATTATTTTTATGCGTTTTCTGGGTTGCTTTTTTTTTATGTCTCGTTAGAATATCGCTCCACAAGTTTTGCTAAGGACTTTTGTTAATTTTATTATTCTTTTAGTTTCCAGGCTTGGAATGACCAGGTGATTAGGGCGCTCGACTCGCAAACTGCGGGTTCGAATCCCCGTCCCACCATCCTGCTCACCCTTTCAGTCGTGGGGCTTTATAATGTGACGATCGTTCCACACTATTCGTTGGTAAAAGAGTAGCCCAAGAGTTGGCGGTGATGACTAGCTGCTTTCCCTGTTAAATTAGGGACGGCTAGCGCAGATAGCCCTAGTGTAGCTTTGCGCGAAATTCAAAACAAACTCAAACTATATTTTCCATGGAAAAAATAATTCCTGTGGAGGCTTCGATCCTTTTTATAACTCTACAAAAATGCTAAAGGAGAGTGATTCACTTTCTAATTATTGTGATCAAATATGATTCATCGTCCCACTTATGAAATAGTCACGTTACGAAATACCTTTTTTTTACGTTCACGTGATAAATCATGAAGTAAATGAGGACTCAATCACTTTGATATAAGATATCATTCATACTTTTTTCTCATTCATCTAATAAAAATTTCAATTTTTATGCCGTATCAAATTAATGAGAACACATTGTTTTAGTAGATTTCAAACGTAAATAATGTTTTAAATTAACTTTGTTTTTTAGATATTGAGTCAAGTAATGATAGTACATGTGGTTCTCCTTAAATATTTTTATTAACATAATGTGAAACGTCTAAGCTATTTAATTTATTTAAATCTGAGACTGCCTCCCGTTGAGACAGCGGTAAGTCATCGGATTTACAACCCTAAAATCAGGGATTCGATTCCCCTCGGTGGACACAGCAGTAAGTCATCGGATTTACAACCCTAAAATCAGGGATTCGATTCCCCTCGGTGGACACAGCAGATAACCAGATGTGGCTTTGTTATAAGAAACACACACACACAGAGGAATGTGTTATCATTTTCACCTTTACCTTTTTATACACTGGTCGTTTCTTTATTAGCATAGATCATGAAATATGATTGTTAGACCACATCGTTTGTTTTTTTTTCACTTTTTGTTATATTTATTTCTTATGCTTAAGATTTTACTTGAAATAAATCAATACTAAATGAAGAAGTACACCCCCTCCTCTTGACGAGTTTTTCTAGATAGTTTCAACTGTAGCATAAACATTTCAATCGTTCACTTAAGCCTAAATTGAAACATTCTAGAAAATGGACAGATCAATGTATTGGTATTACTGGATTGTTTTAGTACGCTGCAGGTAGAGGACGACAAATCCATTGTGGTATATGAGAAAACCCTATAAAAACAAAGCAGTAAAACTATTCTGGCTTAGGTTTGGTTTGAATTTCGCACAAAGCTACACGAGGGCTATCTGCGTTAGCCGTCCCTAATTTAGCAGTGAAAGACTAGAGGGAAGGCAGCTAGTCATCACCATCCACTGCAAACTCTTGGGCTACTCTTTTAACAACGAATAGTGGGATTGACCAGAACATTATAACGCCCTTACGGCTGAAAGGGCAAGCATGTTTGGTGGGATGGGATTTCTGTTATTGAGGAATCAAGAGATATTGACAGAACGTCAGTGTTAAAGCAAAACAACGTCATGTACATGGACAACGTGATTCGCCCATTATAATAGATCATTTTCAAATCCTTAACCGAGCCGTCACTTGCATTAAAATTGCTATTAGAAAAAAAAATTACTGGAGAATACAGAGCCCACGTCACGTGTTTTTAACTCTGAAAATAAAGACTAAAAAGTTGAATTAAATTTTTTTTTCCATCTTTATTGATAATTATTACACTACATTTTGTTACAATGATACCAGCCATAGAAGGCTTTTAAAGAAACAGCACAATATTTGAAGCGTCACGGTGTTAAGACCCAAATTTCAACATCTTACTCACTGTACTAATTTATTCAAAGAAGAAACACGTGCCACATACAAGTGGTAGCAGTGACTATAAAATCTACTACACTAAAGTATATGTAACGTTTACTAGAGAGGCTAAAGTCTACAAAGAAGATACAAGGTAATCAGTTACTGCTTTTCCATAACTTAAGTTATCAGTTCTCTCTAGATACTAGCATCATGTCCATTTCCATCCTTCTCCTTTCTGTAGTACTGTGTGTGTGTGTTAACAGAGTGGGTGCTTTTGCGAGATTAATAAAAAATATTGAATTATATAAAGACAATGAGTACCATCTGCTGGTTATATCTACATTTTACTATGTATATATATACACTTGTTTATTATATATATATATATATATATATATAATGTACTGCCTATTCAAATCATCTTTAAATTGTAAATATTTTAGCTCATTTAAAATGGCCAATACACTATTTGCATACCAATAACATTAAAAATGCACATACAGGTAGATAATGCTATAAGACTTACAAAACATACAATAAATATTTTTATGCCTTAAACTAGAAAACTTGTTTTTATCTTTTTTCAATAACTATTCAATGGAACTCAGAGGTCATAAGGTCATTAACTCATATCTATACTTTTTTTTTTTTTACTGAATTCCCTTATAGCTAAATATACAGTGGTCTATGGTAACTATTGAAACATTTAACAAATTGGAGACTTATCTATTTACATGATTACTTAAACAAAACAAACAAGTTTTATGAATTAAATAAAAACACATTGTAACTTAAGATCATCAAACGATATTCCCAGTATCACAAACAGGCTTACATGAAATCTTGTACAGCTAAGTAGAAGTTTGAGAACTTGGGTCAATAATATCTAACTTTTTAATTTTCTTTTTTGTTTTGTTGTTTAATACAACAGAACAACAATAATTTATTTTTCCTTTGACTTCACACATTTATGAACAACCATTGTTAAACCATTGTTCAACCATGAACAACCATTGTTAAATAATGTATAAAATTAGAAAAACATGAAGCTAAAATGTAACTCAAGTCTAAGTAAACTGAACTTTCTGTATATATGAAAATGCTGTATATAACTAAGAATTGTAATTATTTTGTGTACGAAGCAAACAATATCACAATACTAGACTTACGGGGAGGTCCAAAAGTTACTTTCCCGGGACCTACAAGCTTTGATGCCACAAATTATATGTTATCCTGCACACAACGTATTGATGTGTAGGTCCTTGCAACTCATTAAAACTTTCGGTTCACCCTGTATACAAAGACAAACTGGCCTACTCGGTTTGACTTTTATCACAATTATCTAACATCTTTACGATTGTGAACAACGGAAATTTACAAATACATAAAATAATATAAATTACCCTTTTTTTTAATTCAAAAGATAAAGGTTATAGTATGTTCTAATGAAAACAAATACTAAAATAATGAAGTACTTTGTGTAAATAAAAAGACAAATAAACAGAAATACACATAACACAGAAAAACTACCTAACAGAGTAAAGCTACAGTAGAAACAGATTTTTTTTTGCTGATAAATCAGTGCCTGCACACAGACTAATTTGAATATCTTTTTATTTCTTTTGTATTCAGATAAGAGATTTCGTTTTCATACTCTATAATAGCTCCCTTATGAAATACCACAAAATATTTTATATTTTCTTTCAGCTTGAGCCTTAAGCTTTGCCGCAGGTCTCTTTTGTCAACAAGAATTCAATAAATACAACAAAAAAACAACAAAAATGAAATATTTGAACTTCTATATGGACTCCAATGATTTAATACTGGACTAAATGGAATAAATATTGTGACTATTAAATAATTTCGTTTATTAACTAAGCAAATAAAAAGTTTTAATAAAAGTAATATCACAACTCTAACCTTATGTTACAGACATCTCAAAAGTACATATACAACTGTTGTCAACTTAGATAAACTAAGTCTTGTCAGTGATTATAACAGTAAAAACAGGTTCTTTGCTATAAAATAAATAATGAATTTTGAAATGTCCCCTAGGATAATACCATAACAGTTTTAAACTGTCTGTCAGTAGGGTGTTTCTAAAGAGTACTGGTCCATCTCCAAGATCTCAGATCTCTACATAATAAAATAAAACTTTGTTTCTGTCTACTAGTACATCATGATAATTATAATGTGTGTGACTGTACATGTGGTGTGTTTGTGTATACAAGAGCTTTCACAAAAAGCTTATAATTTCAATCTTAATGTATACATATATACATATGGCAACAGAAAATGGGTTTAGTTTAACTAAAAGTTATTTCTTGGAATTTGCACAAAGCTATATGATGGCTATCTGTGCTGGCCATTTCTAATTTTGAGGGAAGGCAGAGTCAACCTCGCCCACCATCAACTGTTGAGCTACTCCTGTTTGACAGAAAAGTAGGTTTTGACTGTCATTCTTATAGCGCACTCCTGGCTCTAAAGTGCAGAGTACGATTTTGTTTTCCGCAGTAATGGGATGCAAACAACAGAATCTCAGCTTCACAGTCTGGCATGCTAAACACTGGGCTGTGTTGAACAGAAAAAAAGCTGCCATATTTTACACTTGTATGAGGTTCTTCTTCTTCTTCTATTTCATGTGTATTTGCTATATTTTTTAAAACCATGGTGAGAGATAGTTCATCAAAAAATAAACTATACTGTCACCAGACTTAGTAAGTCTGTACCCAATAAGCTATATCTCCCTTGGTAACAACCTCATTTCTCTACAAAATTCACTAAACTAAAAGACACCATCATACCTTGTGCCAATCTAAGCACTTTTTATCCATTTTCACAGTATTTTAGAAAACGTCACTGAACTGTACCTTTTCAAAAAAAAAAAGTTTTCAAAATATATTCATAGATATCATAACGATATCAACAGATATTTTTCACTTTAATATTAAAAATAGATATATCATAAAAATAGTGAATAATTCATACACAAAAACTTGCTGAACTTTTGTAAATAGTTTAAAAAAAAACAACTGAGAGAAGAGTTTATACACTTTACAAAAATTGAAAAGATTCTAAATTTTGTGACAATCTGCCTATAAAATATATTATCCAAAAGATATTACTATACAGTTAACTTTTAATTCTGAAACCAAGTTACCTACATTCAATTTCAGTCACACATTACTTTTTCGTTCTGTTACCTACTGTCAACAGGTGCTGAAAACGATAAATCTTCTATTGATTCATTTGATATTGATGTATATTGCAAGTCAAATGTCTAAGAAAAGAACAATATTGGTTATTATGTCTTCTTTAATAGTTACTTCAATGTAATTTGAAGCAAACAAGTTAGAATTTTTTAAACATTTAATCATATTACGACTGAGCAATATTTTGACTTTAAACAGTATGTGCTGAGATATACATCCATTCTTCCACTGTTTACTGAATATTATAGAATGAGAACATTTAACACAGAGCCAACAGAGATGTAAACATCATACATAGCAACTACAGTAGTTCACAAATATTAAAATTTTACAAAAAATGTTTTCATACATCTAGTTCTTACACAGAGACAAAAATGCAGTGAGCAGAAAATACATATGCAAACAATGTTAACAAGTAGTAATACTGGTATGAAACAAATCATTATTTGTCTGTAGTGCTAAATATTTCTCTCTCTCTCTCTTTAACCATGTGAATAACTGACTGCTCATTGCTTCACATACTTTTTCAGGTCTTCAGTTATTGTCCTACTAATCTTTTCTTCCTCAGTAAGCTGTTGCCGAAAGGACTTTACTTTTTCTGTTAAAAAAACAAAAAAAAAACAGCTTTCATCCCATTCCAACCTGGTTGTGTATTTACATAGAACCTAGGATATAAGAACCTTTCTGAAACTGTTTTCTTGGATTGTAAAAATGTGACGTAAAGCACAATAACAACATTCTCATCACATTACACTTGTTGCTTAAGTACAATTATTCTGTTGTTTTTTCATTAATTGTCAATGCTGATATTGGGAAACTACACCAAGTCATACAATAGTCTTGATTAGAAGGTTCACTGGTAAAAGTGTGTATAAATGTGATCTCCTGTATAGTTTTTTACCACTGATTAAAGAATAACATACTTACAAATGAAGGTTCATCAATAATGTAGCAGTCAAATTTGAATAACAAGCAAAATAAATAAGGTCATACAATAGTCTTGATTAGAAGGTCCACTGGTAAAAGTGTGTATAAATGTGATCTCCTGTATAGTTTTTTACCACTGATTAAAGACTAACATACTTACAAATGAAGTTTCATCAATAATGTAGCAGTCAAATTTGAATAACAAGCAAAATAAATAAGGTCGCATTAACCTTTCACACAAAGTAACATTAAACTGTACTGTGTAGATTGACTACATTAACCTTTCACACAAAGTAACATTAAATTGTACTGTGTAGGTTGACTACATTAACCTTTCACACAAAGTAACATTAACTTGTACTGTGTAGGTTGACTACTTTTTAATAGAATCTTATACAAACCTTTGAAATTGGATAAACTATCTTATACCAGCCTTTGAATTTGGATAAACTATCTTATACCAGCCTTTGAACTTGGATAAACTCTTATACCAGCCTTGGAATTTGGATAAACTGCCTTATACCAGCCTTTGAATTTGGATAAAATGACTTATACCAGCCTTTGAACTCGGATAAACTGTTATTCCAGCCTTTGAACTTGGATAACCTGTCTTATACCAACCTTTGAACTTGGATTATCTGTCTCATACCAACCTTTGAACTTGGATTATCTGTCTCATACCAACCTTTGAACTTTGATAACCTGTCCACTTTTTCTGCAAGTAACTCTTCTAATTGTTGTGCATATGCTAGAAAAGTACAAGTTACATTAGTTTAGATTATTAAAAAAGTCATATACATTGTAACTAAACTAAAAAGAATGTATAAAAAAATCAAAAAGGACAATACTACTAAGGAGAAACCCTAAAAGTCTACAAGAAAAAAACAAACAATCATTTTAAAGTCAAGATGCTTTTTTATTAGGTTTTTCTATTTGTATACAATGTAATGTTATTAACACTGTCAAAGAGGTGGTAAAAGTTAGAAGTAAAAGGCACAATGAATTCATGTACATGTAGTTAAACGTTTAAGTTGACAAGTCCAATATTGCTACTCAAGTTAAAAAATAACAACCAAACAACTGTTCTCACAACTATTTTATTTGTAATTAACAAAACAGTAGTGTAATCTTTATAAGTAAATATATATATATATATAAACAACCTATATAAGAACAAGCTATAAGTACACTGTAAGCACAGTTAGTGGATAGAGATAAAATGAATTCCAAAAAATATTCAAATAATGACAAAGTAATCAGTTGTGTACACAGGCCTATAAGGGCCTTGGGGCAGGAATAATATACCCCCCAAAAAACAACCTATAAGTACACTGTAAGCACAGTTGGTGGATAGAGATAAAATGAATTTCAAAAAAATATTCAAATAATGACAAAGTAATCAGTTGTGTACACAGGCCTATAAGGGCCTTGGGACAGGAATAATATACCCCCCAAAAACAACAACTAATGTTACATAAGGAAAGAACACACAAAATTAAAAATAATATGAAAACATTTTTCTAATTGTTTCATTTTATATTATACTGTAGAGGTGCAGTTGTGTGTGTGTGTTAGGGAGGGCTTCTAATTGTTGACTTGTAGAGGGCCTCTTGTGCTGGCATGAGGTCTTTCATGAGTTATACAACTATGTATCATGCAGTCACCGTGTCCCCAAAGTGCTAATTTTGTGTTGAGACTGAGTATCACTAGAAAGCCTCCTGGACACCAAAAAGTATTAATTGTATTTATGTTATAAGTGGAACTTTCATGAGTTACGATGTGTTGGCTGCTTCACCTACATGTAAGCCACTGACTTAGTCAGAGCTTGGTAATTTCATAGTGACTGACAACAAGAAAAAACATTTTTACAGCCTGTCCCTATGATGTTATTGCAGAACCTAAAAATTAGAATAGGTTGCCAAAAAAGAAAATTAAAGTTACAAAACTTACAAACTTTTATGCAACAAATTATGTTCCCATTTTGTATAGGATATGTTTCAACACTTTAGCAAAGGGTCTACGAGTTATAATTACATCATTTGTATTTTAGATTCATCAATCTCAAAATACACTTATATATATATAGAGGTAATACAATGGTGTGACAGGTAAGAAAAAATGTCGCTGTGGGAAAACATAATTCATATATTTGATGATGAGTTTTGCTAAGTGTTCAGAACTTTTTCCCATGCAATATACATAGGAATGATAAAGAAAGCTGACCTGGATTTTCTTCTTGTGTCATACACATATTCAAAAAATGAAATAAGAATAATTTCAGGTTTAAAGTAACACAAATAATATGCTCAATTACAGAACTAATTCACATTAATGTATTTATTTACATAATACAATAAAACAAATGTAAACAAAGTATTAATTTTAGTGATGTATAAAGTATATAAAATACAAATAATGAGAATACTCCGTTTGTAATCTTTCATGACCTGAGAATACTCCGTTTGTAATCTTTCATGACCTGAGAATACTCTGTTTGTAATCTTTCATGACCTGAGAATACTCTGTTTGTAATCTTTCATGATCTGAGAATACTCCGTTTGTAATCTTTCATGACCTGAGAATACTCTGTTTGTAATCTTTCATGACCTGAGAATACTCCGTTTGTAATCTTTCATGACCTGAGAATACCCCCCTTTGTAATCTTTCATGACCTGAGAATACTCCCCTTGTAATCTTTAATGACCTGAGAATACTCTGTTTGTAATCTTTCATGACCTGAGAATACTCCGTTTGTAATCTTTCGTGACCTTTTCAGGATAGAAAAAAAAAAAGTCCTAAGGTTTTCTCAGGATTTCTAAACAAAACTTTCAATCAGTAGACAATCAATACTATACTATAATAAAACAATAACATCTTACAGCACACTTGCCATGAAACATCTTATCTAAAGCAAGGAAACTTATACTGGGTGATTTGGAAGTCTGATGACAGGCAAATAATTCAGAAATAGAGAAGAAAATGAGGTAATTCCTGGTTGTGTCTATCAAAGCTTTTATTAATATGCATCATACACAAAAAAAAAATGTCAGTTGCAAAGGTGTATATAATACAGCAACAGTTGTATGCATAAACACAGATGAGGTAAACATCCTAACAGTATTAGGAAATGATGGCAAATAACAGCTGTATTTAAGGTACTGTCCAATATGACAGCTTCGTTATCAAAAATGGTTGCTATTTTCAGTTTGCCTGCATGGCTTCTTTGTGTAAACGAGCCTGTAATACACAGCTGCCGACGCACATTTCCTGTCACCTGGTATGAAGGATGACATTGATAAGGGAACCATTTTGCATACAATCTGAAAGCAGTCTGGGTATTCTGGTGATACTCTCTACATAGAAGGCCAGGCCTACATTAAACTGTTCCTCTACTGAATACTGTGCCATTAATTAGATGACTTTGGAGAAGCTGCAAAACAATGTGGTATCTTATGTAGAGAGCTTTTATTTTAACACTTTAACCTTTCAAAGGTGCCAAGATATGCTAATGCAAACTGCTGACTTCCAACCTAGGGTTGTGTAACAACCTTTGTCATGGTTAGATTTCAATCTTCTGTAGCACAACTCTATATGCATGGAAGGGGTGTACTTATATCTGTAACTACTATTCTCGAGTAGTGATTTTAGTAACTTTTGGTTTAAAATATTTCATTTTTTTCTATTTTCTACATCTTTGTCATGAACATTTTGGGTGTATGATGTATACTAATAAACTTTATAAACAACATGACTTTAAGGTGACCCTGAATGATACTGTCACAGAGAGGCCCAGATCGCTTCACTCCATAACACTAACAACTATGTTCCTATACCTTTCATCTTTGTCATGAACATTCTGGGTGTATGATGTATACTAATAAACTTTATAAACAACATGACTTTAAGGTGACCCTGAATGATACTGTCACAGAGCAGGCCCAGATCGCTTCACTCCATAACACTAACAACTATGTTCCTATACCTTTTCATCTTTGTCATGAACATTCTGGGTGTCTGATGTGTACGAATAAACTTTATAAACAACATGACTTTAAGGTGACCCTGAATGATACTGTCACAGAGTAGGCCCAGATTGCTTCACTCACTCCATAACACTAACAACTATGTTCCTATACCTCTTTATCTTTGCATTATTTTCCAGTCAGTGAACTTCTAAAACATCATGTACACATGAATACAATCACAACATAAGCCATAGTATACTACAACACATTTAGATCTTACCATCTACATCATAATCTACTTCATTTGCCATTGTAAGCAGGTCTTTATCTTTTTGTAACCATTTGTCAGATGACTGAAAATAAAATAAAATAATGAAATCAAAGTATATCCAGAAACAGTAAGAAAAAATCTATTTTAAGGAAATTTTATCAAACACACAATATATTAATTTCTATAAATTTTTTATTTAGGACGTAACATCAAAAATGAAACAAAACTGTAGTAAACTAAATTATTGCAAAAACATATTCTGCTCTTCTTTTCTTTATGAGCTTTTTACAATACTTTTCATTCATTATTAAATACTGAAATTTAACTAGTACTGAGTAAATGATCAATTTTTGTGTAAAGTATCTCAAGGACTATTTTCATTGCCATCCCTAATTTTGATGTAAGACTATTGGTTTAACATTATCAGACAAGAAGCTGTATACTATTTTGGACCATTGGTTTAACACTATCAGACAAGAAGCTGAATACTATTTTGAACCATTGGTTTAAAACTATCAGACAAGAAGATGTATACTATTTTGGACCATTGGTTTAACACTATCAGACAAGAAGCTGAATACTATTTTGAACCATTGGTTTAAAACTATCAGACAAGAAGCTGTATACTATTTTGGACCATTGGTTTAACACTATCGGACAAGAAGCTGTATACTATTTTGGACCATTGGTT